TTTCTACAGCTTTGTGTTATTATTTTACTTCAATTTCATTTCAGCAATTCACTTATCCATCTTTCCTTTATATTTTACAACTAATGCTTTTTTGTCTTTTTCAATAACAAGTTATACCATATTACTATGTGTGCTTGGCCTTCGTTTTCTCCATCCAAATTCTAAATGAATTATATTTTCTCAAATTCTAGTCTAGCCTTTGATTTTTCTAATTTCTCATCCCTTTTTTCATGTTCCCAGTTGCTTGGATATTGTGCTGCCTTCTTCTTTAACCTATCTTTCTATCAAGGAAGAAGAAAATTTGGAATCCATACCTGGGGGGCTATTCCAAAACCTAAGCTCCCTTTAATGCTTCGATATTGTTGATTGCCCGAAGCTACGATCTTTGCCAAAGGAAGCCTTCCCTCCCTCACTTGGACGACTATCCATCTGGAGGTGTCCGCATCTAAAACGACAGCGCTTTGAAGCTAAAGGAGACTACTGGACTCGCACCGCAGCATCCCCTACGTTCAGATAATTGAAAAAGAGGTAATATGATCTTAGTGTGAACTGAAATGGGCATCACAATTTTATGCTTTTCATATGAGAATTTAGAAAAATCTTTAATAGACACACTTTTCTTAGACTTCTTCTACCTTTTTTCCTATTTTCCTTTTCTGTTTTTGGTAGTTCTATTTTAAGTAATTCGGTTTAAATTTTGGAGTTCTGAACTGGAGATGGAAAGATCTGCATTATGTTCTATTTTCTTATGGATTAGCTTTGCGTCCATTTAAAATGTTAAATGGCAAGCAGACAGTTAGTTTCTTATGGATTAGCTTCTGGTGAATTTAATTTGTATTAAGAAAGAGGAAGTGCATTAAGATTTTAGCTCCTGTGAAGCCTTTATCTTCCAAATTGGAAGCTTATTTGCTGTTATTAAATTTGTACAGTTCATGTGCCCAATGGGAACTAATGCACTCTAAAAACATCGCACGTCTCTGGCTTGGTGGCTGGTGGGAAGCCAAATTCTTCTCTAATATCATGCGTGAAGACACCAGACTCTATTGTGACGGCCAAGTCTAGTGGTGAGTTTATTATATCTACTTTAGTTTAAGTTTAAGCATTCTTTCCAGTTCTTTTTTTTTTTTTTTTTGGGAGAAATGCAACGATTGACTTTAATTGAAGTGTGACACTGTGCTATGGATAAACTTCTGTCACATTGGTTTTTGTTGTATTCAGTTCAAACTTACCATTATAGTGGCTATGGGATACAAAAATGGTGTAAGGATTCCTCTAGGATCTGTGCCTGGATTTCATGTAGCATGTTAAATACTAAATAATACATTATTGTTTGACCCATTTTCCTTGCTTTGACAAGCTAAAAGTTGTTCATTATGATGACCATAGTTTCATCCGATGATGCTGCACTAGGTTCCTTGGAGAAGAAAACATCACAGAACATGACTTTTCCAAGTGGCTTTGAGGTGAGTCTAAGCTCATGAGCCTTACACTCCTTCCTATCTTTAAAAGTGATTCACTAATTTTTTGTCAATACTAAAGAAATAATTCATGATGATGCTTGTTATGCATGCTCTTTTGTTAATGGTTTGCAATAATAGTAAACACATTTCTAGTTTTTTTTTTCTTTGACTGCAAACACTTCTAGTTTAAGTTTCTTTGCTGAGTGATTGTTACCTTAGGAAGTTCAAGACAAATTCTAAGATGAATCAAGATGCCTGTAAAAAAAAAAGCTTGAATATAGTTTGCTTAAGGCAGTGGAGTTTATTTATGGACTTTGACCACTACACTTGTGAACTTTAGTGCAAAATTAAACTTTTTTGGCATTAGATCAACAGTTGAATATCTACCAACTTAATGTGTTCACCACTTAGTTCACTTTCCTGGAGGTGGTCTTTTTCTGAACTTCATTAGGCTGTTGTTTAGTTTCTATTATGTTTGTGATTATCTCTTGATGAATATTGATTGAAATTTATCTTGGTGTTCATTTGATATATTGGACTGACAATGTTGGCTTTACTCTGATTCTAGTTGATGCTTAATTTGCTTATTTCTTATTTTCAAATTTATCAGGAATTGATGCTAGAGGTCTGTGACGAGACAGATATATTGCTGAGCTAAAAATGAAGGTTGATTCTTTTACCCTTGTTATTGACTGATTTGCTTGACCTTTTGGAAGACATAATTTCTTCATAGTTCACTTAGAAATTCCTTAAATTTTAAATATCAGAATTTATTTATTTATCATGAGTGATAAAAGTTTAAATACCAATTAGATTTTTAGGTGTAAAGCCTTGCAAGTGGCCAACTTTGGGTTCTCATCATTTTGTATGTATTGCCGTTTGATATGGTGCTTTAGCTTGTTTGCTATTTGTTATTTCATGACAGATTGGAGACTTTGAGATACATCTGAAACGGAATGTTGGGGCAACAAAAGCACCTTTGTCCAATATTCCCCCCACGATAGCACCACCTATTCCAACTAAACCTATAAATGAGTCAACTCCTGTAGCAGCTGCTGTTGCCCCATCACCTCCCCCACCACCAAAATCCTCTCCAGAAAAAATCACTACATTTACAAATGTCTCCTTTGGGAAGTCATCAAAGTTACTAATTATGTCCTCGTATCTTCTCCAGTGGTATGTGATGCTTATAGAGTGTAAGGATCCATTTTTCGAAAATTGCAAATCCTTTTTGTGTAGATTGACTGGTAGAGCGAGCTAGCTACAACCAACTGTTGATGAGGTAAATAAAGCCAAGCCACTCCTCAATGTTACTAGTACTTCATTCGTTTCTTGGATTCATCAGCTATGTATACTATTTATTATCCACTTGAAATTATTTTCCTCTGAGAACATGCATGCATTCACTTGCCTCAAAAATGGCTTACGCTTTCAGATTATTTCAAAGGGGATGAATGGTTGGCCCTTGCATCACGGGAATTCACAACCACCAATGCTTGCAAAATGATGTCCTTAGGCAAGCCAACCAAGTTGAATTTTAAACTCAATGTTGCAGGACCTCATGTTCTCCATTTTGAAGAATTGGGGAGAGTTTTGGAACAAGAATTGAATTTTGATTTAGAAGGATATTCTCAATGGTACCCTCCTTTCCTACCACATGTTTTTTGGTGTTTTTCCATCTAGACTGGCCTCTGTACAAATTAGATTTTTCCGCTAGCTGGAACTGGAAAATGGATATCACCATTGCTGAATTAAACAATCTTGTAATCTGACCATGTCAAGCTACATATTCTGTGAGTAACCAAATAACCTATCTAAAATTTTATCATGCTACCCATTTCTCTTGGTTGTGTTAATTTTTAGGATAAGCAAAAAGTGATATATTTTGAAGAATTATATGTCATGATATCTCTATTCATCATCTGCAAAGTGATACATTTTGATGATATTATTGACTCTGGTTTTGTCTTGTATTTGTGTTACCAACTATTTGTATATATGTATTTTTTTATCTTAATTTTGATTCTGGTGCATGGAAATTAGGTAGATATCAAGAAGTTAGTCCAACTTAGTGTCTAGATGTTCCCTTATTTGGCCCTCCCCCCATCTTGTTCTTATTTATCATCACATTTCCCATAATTTTAGTGTCAACTTCCTTGAAACTGTGTAACACCCAACTTATAATTAGTTCTTGTCCTGGTTTTGTCTTATAACATCTGATTAAACCCTTTGTTGTTTTCAAGTCAACTACAGGATTAGTTAATAGGTGATCGATCTAAGATTCCAAGTTCAAGCCTCCCTTTTTAAGCAAGTTCTTTTTTCAACAAGTAGGAGCTGGATGCTTTGATATTAACGCTACCTTTCATGCAAGTGGTGAAGCTTCTAGAACGTATGATGAGTCAGAAATGAATGATCCAACAATGTGCATTGTGTTCCCTCTTTACTCATCTCAAGTTACAACCAAGATTACGGCACAAACACAGTTGCTTTAACTGCTGCTTAAAATGGATGGACTAGCAAAGTAGCTTCAAGATCTAACAACTTGATGAGAAATGGTGGTGCTGATAGGATCCGCCATAGACTCATAGTTGCAGCTATAAGCTTCTACCCTCCAAAGAATGCCCTCTTTGGTAAGGCAAGCTTCGTCTTCTCATCTCTCAATTATTCAGAGAGATTCCCTATCATTTCATCAAGATAATGCTAAGCTTTAATTCACTTTTGCAGGACATGGATTTTCTGAGTTTTTGTTGGTACTTCCCCTGATCAAATTCCCTTAATCAAGGACAATTCGAGGATATATATGAAAGTGGATGGAGTAATGCTTCGAGGCAGCATTATGCAAAAATCATTTCAAGGTGCATTGTCACATTTTAATCCTTTAATATGTGCAAATTTTGAATGTTAAAATCCAAGTTATTAGTTGTAGGTGAACTTATTGTTAGACTAATTTATGCCATACTCAAATTATGTTAACTAACCATTTCAATTTCTTATTTCTTCAGGATTCCTTTGTTGTATATATCCATATAATATCTGGCGTCGAGAAAAGTCTTCATGAACTCATACATGAATGGCATGGGGCTTGGACTTTGAAATATATCAAGTCAGGGGAGCTTTAAACAATGGCTAGTGGCTGGTTTTGATCATCATTGCAAAAACAGTAGAAAGACAGTGAGAGTGAGTTGCAACAGCAGTAAGGTCAGTAGAGGAGTTAGTTCTGGCAGATGATCAACAATGATTTGATCTCCAGTTTCTCTTGGAACACACTCAGCACACTTGGTGGGATTTATCCCAATTTGATGGGAGATTTTGACTTCCAACTTTATTATGGTGATGACTATGACATTAGTGATCCAAGAATTTATTCTTGATGATTTATTGTTGTGCACAACTTCTGGTGTTTCCCAAAGTAGAAAAAACTTTGTTGTTAAGTTTGATTATTTTTCGCTTAAGTGGGTAGAGAGAGAAGAAGAATACTTGTTGAGTGTGGTATTTGGTAACCCTCTTTGGAACAGTGTATTCTACACAGATTTTTTTTTTATCCATGCATCCCCAAAGCTTGAAAAGCTCATTGTTATCTTTCTATTCCCTATTCAAGTTCAAGTGATTAGCTGTTGTATACCATGAAGTCATCAACAGTACTGCACATCACCTACAAAAAGTTAGCATAAGAAAATCAGTAGAGAGGCTCAATATTAGTGACAGTTTTGATTATAAGCTACATACCTTATAATCAGTCCCTGGTGTATATTTAAATTAAGACTAATAGTTAGTGTTTGGATTTGAAAATATGTATATATTTTTTTTTGTGCTAAGGAAAATATGTAAAATGAAACATTTAGATGATAAGTTAAACCTTGGATTAGGTTAAAATCTATGCACTATGCAATTCATATATATTGTTTCTTGCACCTCTCCATTTCCAGATGAAGTTCAAGACTTTCATTTCCTTTCAATCTCTTCATCTGAAAAAATGCATTCAATTGCCTTCAAAATGGTTTATGATTTCATTAACCTTTTCAGGTTGTTTTGTTGGAAAAGGATTGCGGAGTTCAACTGTACATTAGAAATATCTATATTGATGAAAGCCCCACATAAGCTTTCGAAATGATGTTCTTAGGCAAAGCCAACCTTGTAAACTCAAATTGTTTTGAGCCAACAATTTTAGACTATTTGACCAGGTATATATGATGGACCACAGTTGATCTTTAGAGGCTCATTTTCAGATAATTAAATGTAAATTGACCTTCTTTCTAGCTCTTAATTTTAAGAATGAAATTGTCCTTGGGTATATGGGTAAGAAACTAACAATATTAATGGACAAGATATCTTCTATCTCGGGTTTTTTTTTTTTTTTAATCCTTAAATCTCAATTATCGAAAGTCTTTCCACATAAAGGAAGTGCTTTTGACCATGAAAAATATTTAGATTTATGGTTTTGGCACAAACACATCTGGATCAATCATTCCTTCCTTTAAAAATTACAGGGCATTGGTGTTTTTCTCCTAACATTTCTTGCCATATCAAGGACAGTTTAAGAATACATATCAAGGTGGATGCAGTAATGCTTTGAGGTAGCATTATGTGTAAATTATTCCAAGGTGCAAGATTGTCACATTTAATCCTTTAATACGAACAAAAGTTGTAGATAGACTATTTCTGTCATACCAGACTAATTCATGGATTTACACCCGTGAGTTCATTTGATAATTAATTGGACCATTTTTCTT